TAAGCAAATTATATAAAGGTGGTTCCTATTTTTCTACTTGCATTTTTTACCTGCGTTCAAACTGTTAGGTTGGCAGAAGCTGGGACAAGTAATGGGAGCTCCCTCCATTACGCAGCACTAGGGATTCAAACCGCTGAACTGCCAACCTTTCTGATCGACAAGCTCAGCGCCTTAGCCACTGAGCCACATCCTTTTTATTGTCTACCTTCTTTCTTTTATGACCTGGCCTTTATATAATTTGCTTATATAATACATTGAATATAATGACAGCTCTATATCCACATATTATATACACACAGGATTTCTTTTTTTTCTTTTTGCTTAGTGTTAGAGACTAAGCACCGTATGTCTGAACAAACAGTAGAAGTAAAGCATTTTCAGCATTGTGCTTCCAGTGGAGCGAAAAGCATTTTGGAATACAGTTTTTTTTTAATTCAGGTCACCATCTTAAAAAAAAAAAGATAATTTAGAAATCATGGCACAAACCTACACAGTGTTTTCTTGTCATATTTGAAGAAACACTTAAGCAAAAGAATGAACTCAAATATTTGACTTGATGGCTTGCCAACTTACCTTTTCAGGTTGCGTAAAAAATTTAGTTGGTAATACCGGATCCTTTGGACATTCTGCATTACATAAAGCACTTTTGCTGTTGATTACGCAGAGGGCTACGTCACATACAGTGTAGAGTTTCTGAAGCACAAAGGAAACCAACACAAGAGAAATTTGGACGTTATTTTGCACTTTTAATTGAAACATCTGCTAATCCCCATCAATAAGTCATCTATCGTAAGAGTGTTATGCTTTTTGTTTTCACTGGATTATACCCGGGAACAAACTAAAGACAGCTTTTTGTTCCAAGATAGCAAACATATTTTAAATGAGGTCTGATCCAGAGAATTCTGGCTCACAAAAATCACAATTCACAGTAAACATGATGTATCTTCAAGTTCCCACCAAAATTAGGTGCTATTTTTGCTAACATAATTTGCTATTCTGTTAATGTACCACTCACTGTACTTTTGGCAAATACGCTTTGAAATCTCAGCTGTAATATTTCCCCCCTTACAGAACGCTGTTTTCACTTAGCTTGACTAACAGTTAAACTAACTATTTTTTTCCTCTTTCCTTCTGTTGAGATTGCTAACACAAAATGGGTACACCTCATTTTTTTCCCCTCTGGAGAGAAATGAGGGACCGCCTGAAGCATTTTGCCCACTCGTTCAAAAACTGACTCTGAACCCTCTTTCTCTCTTTCTTCCCATTCCTTACTTCGCTGGCCTTTGGCTCGTCTGGGGATTGGGCATCCTGGGTAAGCTTGATGCTTTCTGTCATCTTTTTCATGAAGGCGTGACTGTTGTTTTCATTCTTGGTCATTAAAACTTCCAGCATGAACCACAGGCACCTAAACAGCCAACAGCCAGAAAGATATGAAAACACTTTTCTCAAGATAAAAGGCACACNGGAGGAGGAATATTAGGTATGTTTGCCATTATTTTTTAAAATAGTAAAAGCAGGATATAAATAAATAAATAAATAAAAAGCCCAAGTTATTTTTAATTAGCCTCTGGTTCACATTTTATACTTAAAAGGAATTACAAGTAGTCCTTGACTTACGAAAGTTCATTTAGTGACCGTTCAAAGTTACAACGGCACTGAAAAAATGTGACTTACAGCCCCTTTTCACACTTACGACCTTTGCAGCATCCCCGTGGTCACGTGACTTTTCAGATGTTGGACAATGGGTTCATTTTTATGTGTTCCCAAGATCACGTGATTCCCCTTTTGCAACCTTCTGACAAGCAGTCAGAAAGATGGCCAGATTCACTTAACAACTGCATTGCTAACTTATCAACTGCCGTGATTCATTTAACAACTGCAAGAAAGGCCGTAGAATGAGGCAAAACTCACTGAACAAAGGTCTCTCCTAACAGAAATGTTGGCCTCAATTGCGGGGATGACCTTGTAATTCATTGAACTGGAAACATTATAGACACTCAGCATATACTGCTTAATTATTGCAACAGTAATTTTAATGGCTTCTTTATTACGATGACCTAAATAACATTTTTTTTTTAAAGAAGCCTGACCATACCTTGTTCTTCACAGGTTCCATTTTGGTTGGAGTGACTGAAATAATTCTCACGGGATTTTCATCATTTTCACTGACCCCCGTCTCCGATAGATCTGAGCTCGGCTCTCTGCTGGAAAATGTTTTAAAAGTTTAACATAAGCTTGGGTTTCTCCCCCCGCCCCTTGGAGCTACGAAATCAAATGATCAATAAGGAAATGGAGGCCGGCTGAATTGGAAGTTCATTGTCAAATTCAGTGCATTTAGAAAATACTCAAAATACTCAAAAAGCACAAAACGTTCTGTGCTTTTAGTCCTACCCATCTTTGAGGGTGGGTGAAAAGGGAAAATTTCCTCTTAGGGAACCGTCACGCTTTCCGTAGAGAATGTTATTTATATTAGAGTTATACGAATGATCAGCCTTTCCTTAAAGGAGCCGTGTCTTTCCTGGGGCTGCAACTCTAGCATGAGACCAGGAAAAGGTGCATCTGGTTTAAGGAGGTGCTCACAGGCCTCCAAAGTACGATTTTGCCTCCAACTCGGTACGACTGAACGGCCCTGTCAAANCTCTGCACCCTGTTCAGATCCTTCACATCTTCCAGAGCCGACTCATAGGGCCCCTCGCTGTCGGAATCTGGTGACAGCTGCAATGGCTCCTGCTGGGCCACAACACTTAGCCATGCCCAGTTCCTTCTCCTAATTGCTTCACTACTGTTTTTGAGCACCAAAACACCCCTGAAACAGCATGACTAGAGAAGCTTCAGTGTGATATAGAGAGGGAATGGAATATTTTGAAACTCACCAGAACATTTTGTTCTTCAAACTATGAGTTTTGAAATATTTATATTCCTTTATCTGCTGACATTCCTGATGGAGATATCCACCTTGATCTTTTCTTGCTTAATATTGGAACTCATCTCAGACTTCATTACATCTCCGATCTCTTCCACAGTCCTCAAATTAAATGTGCTTCTGATACTGCTCTGCATTCTATGTTCCCTAACTAGAATATTATATCACCTCTCTTTAATTTTTTAAAATTTAAAAATTTAACTCATATATTTGATCTCAGGGCCTCTTAGTCTTCCTGCAAATATTTCAGCAAACTGGTTTGCACTTCTCCATCATTTTTTAAAATTATGTACCTGATGTTAAAGGTTGGATGTTATCTGATGTTATCAGTGATGTCCATATTAGAGCTTTTCTTTGTGTTTAAAGCAGATTTAAAGCAGTGGCTGTAACAAATAACAACTTTATGGGGCAACCATGCAAATGGCACAATTATTACTGACATCATGATGTCTGATGCAAAGATATAAGTTGAATTATGTATTTTATAATTTTTCCATGTGATTGTCTTTGTCCCAATCACCCATCAATAGCATCATGTCATTGATGAGTTCTGCATTCAGTTAACTCTAGAATTCACTAAAATCTATTTTATTATCTCCCTTCCCCAAGTCTATATTAGGACAAAGTACAATTTTGATGTTCGCTGGATGTCCTCTAATTTTAATTGACCTGATCCTATTTATTGGATTCCACCCAAAACTGTCTTGACTGATTGTCCCTGGCACTTCATCTCTTTGAATGGACTCAAAAAGTATACTATTGTATATAATCATTAGATTTAATGGGACCAATTTCAGTCATTTATTCCTAAAACATCCTTTTGGAATATTTCATTTCTATTCTGACAATTTCATTCTCCTTTTGTTCATGCTTTTCATGTTCCAGATTTTGATTTACATTTAAATGTAAATGAATTTACATTTAAAGTTTACATTAAAAGTTGCACCCACTTGATTAACAACTTTCTGCCTAGAAGAACTATTTTTTTCTATGCCTTTTTTTTAAAAAAATATTGTTTATGTATAAAAAAATAACTGAAAGGAAATTCTCAACCATCTCAACCTCCTTCTCCTATAGAATTATTCAATTGATTGAAAAATTATCCTGAGCTGTGGGAGATGGGATAAAGGTCATTTTGAGAAACAGAAAGTTGGTGTCTTTTGTACAATCCCAATATATACATATCTATGGAGATTCTCAGTCATCCCGGTCATGGTTGTCCCAAGATTGTTGTTTTTTTCCCAATAGGACTTTCTGGTTTTTCTTTCTCTTGGCTTCAGAGCTGAGGAAGCTTCTTGGATGAAAAGTGAAACATCTTCAAAGAAAAACCAGAAAGGGTAGAATAGAATAGAACAGAACAGAACAACTGAGTTGGAAGGGAACTTCAAGTCTTCTAGTCCAACCCTCTGCTTAGGAAGGAAACCCTACACCACTTCAGACAAATGGTATCCAACATCTTCTTCAAAACTTCCAGTGTTGGAGCATTCACAACTTCTGGAGGCAAGCTGTTCCACTGATTCATTGTTCCAACTGTAAGGAATTTTTTTCTTATTTCCAGGTTGCTTTTCTCCTTGATTAGTTGCCACCTATTGCTTCTTGTCCTACCCTCATGGGCTTTGGAGAATAGCTTGACTCCTTCTTCTTTGTAGCAATCCCTGAGATATTTGAACACTGCTATCATATCTCTCCTAGTCCTTCTTTTCATTAAACTAGACATGCACAGTTCCTGCAACCGTTCTTCATATATTTTAGCCACCAGTTCAGGGGTGGGTTGCAGCCAGCATTACTGCCGGTTCAGCATGCGTGCATGCACATTTGCACCTAAAAAGGTCTGTGCATTGCGCCCAACATTATAAAAGGAAAAAAAAATACAATTCTGCAATGAAGATTTATCTGTGCATGCGCAGAATGGAAAATCAAGATGGTGCCACCACCAATAGAACCAGTTCGGGGGCATGGCAGGCTGAGTTACTACCTGCATGGCTGAACCGGTCCAAACCAGTAGGAACCCACCTCTGCTCCAGTCCCCTAATCATATTTGTTGATTAAAATAGCAATAGCAATAGCAATTAGACTTATATACCGCTTCATAGGGCTTTCAGCCCTCTCTAAGCGGTTTACAGAGTCAGCATATATTGAGCCCAAGAACAATCCGGGTCCTCATGTTA